TCCTCCATTTCGGGCAAATTTTTCACTGACTCGAGGATAAGCCGAGGCGGATTTTTTCAGCCCAAAAAGTGGGCTGAAAAACTAGGCTTATACTTGAGTATATACAGTACATACCATTTGTCAAGTGCCCCAATTTCTATCCCGTGAGCGGTTTTATCATGTGTTAAACGCAAGGACTGATTGTAAGTCGCTTTCTTCGGGGCCATTGTAATTTCAATCATTCACTAAACGAATTGTTGTAAGTTGAGGACTCCCTATACCGCTATGCTGGGTGGGACCGATAGTAATTGGAGTGCTAAATAGTTCAGAAGACCATACATTCCCACTTCACCTCCCACCTCATGATTCTTTCACATGGAGCGGGTACAATGAATGGGGTTGGATTTTCTTTTCTATGAACTGGGTGGTGGAGGCAGTTTGGTTTCCTGAGCAAAAATTGGCCCTGAAGCAATCAGGTCACCCTCAGTAATTTAGAGCAGTGGCCCACAACCTTTTGGGCACCAGGGACTGGTTCCATGGAGAGAGGTTTTTTCCCCAAACCAAAAGGTTCATGGGTTTGCATGCTGCCTACATCCATGGATGGGGCTTCACCTGTTTGTGCGCCCCGGTTGCTGGCATGCTGCAGCTCAGTACCTCCGCTCCACCGACTGGGAGTTGGGAACCCTGATTTAGAGGGCCCTGTTATTCGATGCACTGATGGTTTCAAGAGGACTAGCACCCTCACTCCCCAAGCACCGGTATCCTTTCCCTGTGCATCTTGCCTTTCCTGATGCAGCCATGCCCTTTCTTGCTCTTCTCTGCAGAATCCAGAGCTGAAATTCGTTTCTCCAGTTCGAGGCCCCAAAGCTGGAGGAACCAACCTCACGCTGACCGGATCCAAGCTACTGACTGGAAATCCCAGCAGAATCAGCATTTGGGTTGGACACTTCCCTTGCTACATGTAAGAAAAGCGGGCTGGCAGAAGCAACTTTTTCAGATTGGCTTCTTGTTTCAGGATGTAAGAATATGGCTTGGTCTGAGATGCATTTTGTGGAAATCCAGCTATTCATATATGCATACAATTATATGGGCATGCACAGAGAGATATACAGCAGAGACATACATGCATAATCAAAGAGAACCATGAAGAAGAGGGGGTCAAGTTATTCTCCAAAGCACCTGAGGGTAGGACAAAAAGCAATGGGTGGAAACTAATCAAGGAGAGTAGAACTAAGGAGAAATTTCCTGACAGTTAGAACAATTAATCAGTGGAACAACTTGTTTCCAGAAGTTGTGAATGCTCCAACACTGGAAGTTTTTAAGAAGATGTTGTATAACCATTTTTCTGAAGTGGTGTAGGGTTTCCTGCCTAAGCATGGGGTTGGACTAGAAGACTTCCAAGGTCCCTTCCAACTCTGTTATTCTATTCTATGTTTGAACCTTTGCTATGGGGTTGGAAATCACTCGGGGGGGGGGGGCTTGCAAACCCCCCTCTTTTAATGTTGGTTGAAGATCCTCATGCACCTTATCCTCTTACATGAAAAACCAGGAGCACCCAAATCTCTAGTCTGCCTGCTTTCTGGAAGTTTGGGGTTTCTTGACTTCATTTTTGCAAATTTATTATCCCAGTTTCTGAGTTCTCGTTTTTCCATTCATGCATCTTTTCCAGTTCCTTTCTCATTTGTATGTCTATACATGTATATATATTTGCCCGGAGTACATAGATTTTGCCAACAATTTCCCCAATGCATTTTTGTACATTATTTTCATGAATATATGCATTTTACTACAGACGTGCTCCTACATTATGCTTTTTTAAAGCACATTTTTAAAAAAAAACATATATCGGTTTTAAAAGATGCAAAACCAGATCTGATCTCATTCAGATAAGAAGCTGAATATCTTTCTTCCCATATCCCTATCCTGTATGTCTAAGCAAATTTGACAGAAATCCTGCTCAGCCCCTTGTGAAACTTACTAGGGTAATATTCAAAAGTTTTGTTACGATGTATATAATGTATTTGTGATAGGAAAATCCATCAGTCAAAGCCTTTTAAATCTGTTTAGGTTGTAATCCTACACATAGTTGGGAATAAATCCTATGCCGTCCAAGGAAATAATTCTGAATATATAGGATTAGGACTACACTATTCATTGTTTCAAACATTAATAAAATAAAATGGTTATCCAAATAGTAAACAAGAGCTTTCCAGTGCCATTAGACAGAACATGGGAAATGATGGAGAAGATTTACTTTATATCAATTATTGTTTATTATAGCACAATGCTATTTGCATCGTTGTTTTCCTTTATATGTCTCTAAGAACAAAAGTCTAGAAACTAAGATTTTATGTATAATGAAAAAATACAACTGAAGACTCAAGAACTTTTCATGAAAATGTTTTTAATGTTGAATTACATCAGGGAAAGGAGCTTCTGGAGACAGCATATATTTATAATCTCTTAAAGCTCCCTCTCTTTCATTTTGCACTGGCTGTGCATTTAGATGTGATTCGTTTTTATAGCAAGATTAGGAATGTTCTCACAATTTATGGCTGAGGAGAAAAGGCAAGTCTGTAAATTCAGTCTTCTCACCTCCTTGTCTTGGTGGCTCCTGGAAAAGAGGTGGTATTCAGCAGGTTCTGATCAATTCTGGAGAACCGGTAGCAGAAAGTTTGGGTAGTTCAGAGAACCAGTAAATACCACCTGCCCCCATCTATTCTCTGCCTCCCGAGCCCCAGCCGATCTGGAGGAAATGGGGATTTTGCAGTATCCTTCCCCTGCCACGCCCACCAAGCCACACCCACCAAGCCACGCCCACAAAACCGGTAGTAAATTTTTTTTAATCCCACCACTGTCCTGGAAGATATTTTACAGAAGGCCACAGAGTGCCCAGCTTTGCCGACGAATACAACATTGCTTGTTAAAATGGTCTTTTTCAAAGTTTTATTGTTTTTGGGCTATTGGTAAACTTAATATTTTCTAGAGTAAGTTTATATATTTCTCTTGCTTTCCTTTTCTTCCAAAGTCATTCTGAGATGCAGGAGCATGAATTGTTATGCCAGACAAGTGCCAGCAATGTGTCTACAGAGTTTTCCATCACAGTCAAATACGGCCATCAAGAAAGGAGATTGGAGCATTCCTTCTTCAAATACACCCTCGACCCCAACATCACCTATGCAGAACCAGCCAAGAGTTTCCAGAGGTAACCGCAAACAGGGCAGATCTTGAGATGATCTGTTTGTCAGGGTTCCAAACAACATCCAAAATTAAATCAGAATCCAAGGCAAAGTATTGCTCAAAGTTCCAATTTATTAAGAGAGACATGTTGGCACATGTCTCTGAAAGCTTCCTGGGTTTTCCCCACCCAGTTGAGAGTTCATGATCTTGCCCCCACACCCACAAGCCCATCACATGGCCCAATCTTCCACTGCCATGCTGACAGTTCCACCCATCCAGTTCCGGTCAGGTGCAGAGGTGTAGAGACAAAGGATGACCTTGGATTCTAGAAAGGAATTTTATTTTTACAACATCACATTCTACTCCTTACTTTTTCCCCCTCCCAATTCCCCACTAATGAAACAGCATAGTAGAATAGAATATTAGTGTGGCAGGTCAAAGATCCCAAAAGGAATTGGCTGCAGGCCTGACACTGTTGTGGTTGGCAAATCTTGTCCCTTCTGCTTGTTGTTGACTAAGATTGATAATTTTAGGAGTCCAGGGGTGTCTAAAGAGGGACAGATCCCTATCTACCTTATGCTGAAGTATTCTAGCATTTAAGGATTACATAACCTGCAGGTTTCTGTCATGCTGCCTATTGGTGTTTCTGAACCTGTGGTGTGGAGATCATTGGTACATCATGACTATCCTAGTAGTTCCTGATATAGAGGCCAAAATAAAATAATAATTAAAACTAAAACAAAGTCTCAGAAGACAGTTGGGGCAAATCTAACGTGTTCTCAGTCGTTTTCCAATTATGTATGTAAATTTAATGTTGAGGTCCAACAGATAGCATTTGAAGAAGAGCATAGGTGCCATCATGCTACAGTCAGTGGCATTGTAGGCATGATGCAATGGTCCTCTAAATCTCTTGATTATAACGATGTACTGGTCCACATAAAGGAGAAGTTAATCTGAATCAGAAACTAGTTAGTCTACCTGAAGAGAAAGCAGACAGTGTAGGTTTTGTATCCCCCATTACAATTCCCAAGATCAGATCAAATTTTCCAACCAGTAGTAGTTCTCGGGAGTCAGACGGAGAAATTCTTTCAGCCAATGTATCTGGGCTTGTCAGAGTTGAGTTACCAACAAGATGGACCTCTGGATAGCATGACTGAAAAAGAGTTTCTACCATTTGTAATTCAGCATTCTGACTACTGCAGGGTCACAATAGCAAGAGCACTTAGACTTATATACCGCTTCACAGTGCTTTTACAGCCCTCTCTAAGTGGTTTACAGAGTCAGCCTATTGTCCCCAACAATCTGGGTCCTCATTTTACCCACCTCGGAAGGATGGAACGCTGAGTCAACCTTGAGCCTGGTGAGATTCAAACTGCCAAGTTGCAGTGAGCCAGCAGTCAGCAGAAGTAGCCTGCAGTACTGCACTCTAACCACTGCACCACTGCGGGTAATAATTATCATCCAGTGAGTGAAACCACATATTTTTTCTACAAAGCATCAACACGCAGGCAGACAACTCTGTGAACATCTGCTGCTGGACATCAAAGTTTTTCGTACCGTGTTTCCCTGAAAATAAGACAGGGTCTTACTTTCTTTTGACCTCCAAAATAAGCACTTGGCCTTATTTTCAGGGAAGTCTTATTATTTTTGAGGTGCAGGCAGCAGTGAGCATGGACACCTCATGGCTGCTTTTGTGTTTCAATTTTTTTCAGAAAGGGCTTATTTTCAGGAGAGGGCTTACTTTGGCACATACACTCAAAAGCCCGATTGGCCTTATTATCCAGGGAGGTCTTATTTTCAGGGAAACAAGGTAGTTGTTATGTTTTGGCTATTTTCAGGTGATATTCCTTAAATCCTATAATAAGAATGCGGAATACAAAAAGATTATCAGAATAGAAATACTGGGGACTGCCTTAATCTGTCTTAGATTATTGGTCCATTGAATTGCGAATTCAGACTCTACATTTATATGCAAATTCAAACTCTAGAACAATTGATCAGTGGAACAATTTGCCTCCAGATGTGGTGGGTGCTCCAACACTGGAAGTTTGAAAGAAGATATTGGACAGCCATTTATCTGAAATGGTGTAGGGGCTCCTTCCTAAGCAGGGGGTTGGACTAGAAGATCTCCAAGGTTTCTTCCAACCCTATTGTTGTTGTTGTTATTGTATCAGTGGGAAACAATCTGTTATTAACCCATAATGGATTACTCTTCTTATTGGCCCCAGACAAAGGGTTGAGTGGCCATGAATTATAGAAGTTGTACTCTGAACCATTTAGACAGCACCAAGCTGCCACCTCCTGTTCTATGCTGCCTGATGAGGCAAATGTGTTAGGTTCTCTGTGGCTGCAAGGAATCACTCTGGGATTGCTTTTTGTTACTTTAATGCAGAGGTGGGCCATTATGAGCCCTTAAGAGCCTGTGGACTTCAACTCCCAGAATTCCAGAGCCAGCATGAATGAATGAATGCCTGGCTCAGGAATTCCGGGAGTTGAAGTCCACAGCCTCTCAATGGGGCCACATTTGCCCACCCCTGTCTTAATGAAACAATTCCAAAGCTTCAAATACCAAAGCTAAATGTGCTCAAACCGTGAGTGTTTGTTAATCTGTATGCATTATTTCAGTGGCGGGCGAGAGATAAGAGTTCGAGGGCATAACCTCGATGTCGTGCAATGGCCAAAAGTCCGGGTCACCATTTCACCCTTGGAGCGCCGACGTCGGGGAGTGGGAAGATGGCGTAGGATTATTCCAGAAACAGGATGTCTAGAGAATGCTCTCTGCAGTGTCCAGCAAGTAAGTGAGATTTTAAAAAATATCTGTCAGGGTTCCAAGTAACATCCCCAACGCAAGAAGACTCTGAGGGTAGAAGTTCCTCAAAGTTCCATTTTATTAGAGATGGCACATCTGGGAAAACCCGACTCTGAAAGTTTCCAGGTTTTCCCCACCCAAATGAAAGCCCAAATCTTTTCCTCTGCACCCACATGTCCATCACATGGTCCAATCAATGCACCGTCCCAACTGGAGATGCCTCCCAGTCACACTACTCCCGGTGCAGGCTGAACATCCTTGACTCTCAGAGAAAGGAATGTTATTATGGCTAGATATCCTTGCAACTCCCTGCAATCCTCCCTCCCAGTTTCCCACAGCACTAAGGGTGGTAGTCCTGAAGTTGCAAAGAAAAAGATGGCCTGACAATATCTCTCTTAGCCTGTTTCAAGTTAATTCTAGAGGGATCCCAGTTGGAGAATAAGAACCATGTTCTCCTCCAAGAAAAGTCAGTAGGATTGAAGACAGTTCAACAGTCAGAGCCATTTGGCTTCAGCTGATGTTCCTAGCATGCCACATATGAGGAAAGGAGCCATATTCTATTCTGGAGACATTCTTGAGATCACCCAGATGGCGAAGGCCAGTCCCCCACCTATCCCAAGAGCCAGACTATAAAAAGTGTCGGTTTAAATTACAGGAAGGCAAATCCTTATTGAGTGTTAGAAACAACTTCCCAAACAGTAAGAATACTTTGACAGTGGAACTAATTACAGGTAGTCCTTGACGTACGACTGCAATAGAGTCCAAATTTTCTGTTTTTAAGCAAGACAGTTGTGTGTGTTTGCCCCCTCTTTATGACCTTTCTTGCTACAGTTAGTTTCACTTCAGTTTTATAGGGTTTCCTGCCTAGGCAAGGGGTTGGACTAGAATACCTGCAAGGTCCCTTCCAACTATACCTCTTCTATTCTATTCTGTTCAATTCTAATTCTAATCTATTCTACTTCTATTCTAATTCGAATTCTAATCCATTCTACGGTGTTCTAATTCTATTCTATTCTAATTCTAATTTATTCTACTTCTTTCTATTCTTTTCTAATTCTATTCTATTCTAATTCTAATATAGTCTGCTATTCTTTCTATTCTATTCTTTTCTAATTCTATTCTATTCTAATTCTAATATATTCTACTTCTATTCTATTCTTTCTATTCTATTCTTTTCTAATTCTATTCTAATTCTAATATATTCTACTTCTATTCTTTCTATTCTATTCTAATTCTAATTCTATTCTATTCTAATTCTAATATAGTCTGCTATTCTTTCTCTTCTCTTCTTTTCTAATTCTCTTCTATTCTAATTCTAATATATTCTAATTCTAATATATTCTACTTCTATTCTTTCTATTCTAATTCTATTCTAATTCTAATATATTCTACTTCTATTCTTTCTATTCTATTCTAATTCTAATTCTATTCTATTCTAATTCTAATATAGTCTGCTATTCTTTCTCTTCTCTTCTTTTCTAATTCTCTTCTATTCTAATTCTAATCTATTCTAATTCTAATATATTCTACTTCTATTCTTTCTATTCTAATTCTATTCTAATTCTAATATATTCTACTTCTATTCTTTCTATTCTATTCTAATTCTAATTCTATTCTATTCTAATTCTAATATATTCTACTTCTATTCTATTCTATTCTTTCTATTCTATTCTTTTCTAATTCTATTCTAATATATTCTACTTCTATTCTATTCTTTCTAATTCTATTCTAATTCTAATTTATTCTACTTCTATTCTTTCTATTCTATTCTTTTCTAATTCTATTCTACTCTATTCAAATTAGAACCACAGTTGTTAAGTGAATCTGGCTGCCCCATTGACTTCATTTATGAGAACGTCCCCATCGTACGGCCCAAGGACAATGCAACCATCATAAATATGAACCAGTTGCCAAGTTTTAATCATGTGACCATGAGGATGCTGAAATAGATCATAAAATAGTCATCCCCCCCCCTGTGCCATTGTGACTTCAAATGGTCACTAACTGAATGGCTGTAAGACGAAGACTACCTGTAACCCAAGAAGTGATGGGTTCCAATTCCCTAGACATGTTTCCTTTCCCCAGACAAGTTGAAACTAGACAGCCCTCAGTGAGGAATGCTTCAGTTTGGGATTCCTGCATTGAGGGATGGGTCTACTGGCCCCTTCCAGCTCTTTGGCCTTGCTTCGAAGTTTTCTGCTACACTGGGGAGTGTGGTGCCATTTCTGCAGTGCCAACAACTCTGACAAATCTTTATTACATTTACTCTAAGCAATTGCTGCTCATAGAGATATTTGAGTCTTGGGGTTTTCTTGGGAGTTTTTGCAGAGATTTATATATTTCTTTATTTTAATTAAAACATTTATGCATCCGCCCGTTTTCTAACCAATTCTGGGCATCTCCCAATCGAGTTGCTCCTACTGCATCATTACAAATTTATAGGTAGTCCTTATGACCACAATTAAGCCCAGCATTTCTGTTGCTAAGTGAGACATTGGTTAAGTGAGCTTCGCCCCATTTTACGACCTTTCTTGCCATAGTTGTTAAGTGAATCGCTGCAGTTGCCGAGTTAAGTCTCAGGGTTGTTAAGTGAATCTGGCTTCCCCCTTGAATTTGCTTGTGAGAAGGTCACAAAAGGGGATGACGTGACCCTGGAACATGGCAACGATCATAGTTATGAGTCAGTTCCCAGATCATGTGGCCATGGGGATGCTGCAAAAGTGTGAAAAAAACGGTCGTAAGTCACCTTTTCCATTGCTGTTGTAACTTCAAATGGTCACTAAATGAACTGTTGTAGGTCGAGGACTACATGTATAACTATCCCATGTAGTATAATTTCCGCCCTTTTACCTTTACCTTTTTAACAACCTTATGAAATGGATTGGGTTGAGAAAGAGTGAGTGCGCTAGGGGCCCCCAGCCGTCTTTCATACCTAAGACAGGACTAGAATTCCCAGTTTCCTGGTTTCTAGCCTGATGCCTTAATCATTACACCAGACTGGCTCAGTTGTAGCAAAGCAGGCAGAAGGAATCATAACCAAATGTGAATCTCATATATATTTTTTTAAAAAATGTCCATTGTTTAAATATATCAATAGTATCTTTTTACTACTGGATTTGTGTGAATTTTTTTCCTTTACACGACTGCAAATTGTATTCATTATTAATTTATTTTCATGTGAAGGTTTCATAACAACGGGGCATACATCTGACTCCCAACNCCAAAATAAGCACTTGGCCTTATTTTCAGGGAAGTCTTATTATTTTTGAGGTGCAGGCAGCAGTGAGCATGGACACCTCATGGCTGCTTTTGTGTTTCAATTTTTTTCAGAAAGGGCTTATTTTCAGGAGAGGGCTTACTTTGGCACATACACTCAAAAGCCCGATTGGCCTTATTATCCAGGGAGGTCTTATTTTCAGGGAAACAAGGTAGTTGTTATGTTTTGGCTATTTTCAGGTGATATTCCTTAAATCCTATAATAAGAATGCGGAATACAAAAAGATTATCAGAATAGAAATACTGGGGACTGCCTTAATCTGTCTTAGATTATTGGTCCATTGAATTGCGAATTCAGACTCTACATTTATATGCAAATTCAAACTCTAGAACAATTGATCAGTGGAACAATTTGCCTCCAGATGTGGTGGGTGCTCCAACACTGGAAGTTTGAAAGAAGATATTGGACAGCCATTTATCTGAAATGGTGTAGGGGCTCCTTCCTAAGCAGGGGGTTGGACTAGAAGACCTCCAAGGTCCCTTCCAACTCTGTTATTCTGTTAATTAATCGGTGGAATGGAAATTGCCTCCAGATGTGGTGGGTGCTCCAACACTGGAAGTTTGAAAGAAGATATTGGACAGCCATTTATCTGAAATGGTGTAGGGGCTCCTTCCTAAGCAGGGGGTTGGACTAGAAGATCTCCAAGGTTTCTTCCAACCCTATTGTTGTTGTTGTTATTGTATCAGTGGGAAACAATCTGTTATTAACCCATAATGGATTACTCTTCTTATTGGCCCCAGACAAAGGGTTGAGTGGCCATGAATTATAGAAGTTGTACTCTGAACCATTTAGACAGCACCAAGCTGCCACCTCCTGTTCTATGCTGCCTGATGAGGCAAATGTGTTAGGTTCTCTGTGGCTGCAAGGAATCACTCTGGGATTGCTTTTTGTTACTTTAATGCAGAGGTGGGCCATTATGAGCCCTTAAGAGCCTGTGGACTTCAACTCCCAGAATTCCAGAGCCAGCATGAATGAATGAATGCCTGGCTCAGGAATTCCGGGAGTTGAAGTCCACAGCCTCTCAATGGGGCCACATTTGCCCACCCCTGTCTTAATGAAACAATTCCAAAGCTTCAAATACCAAAGCTAAATGTGCTCAAACCGTGAGTGTTTGTTAATCTGTATGCATTATTTCAGTGGCGGGCGAGAGATAAGAGTTCGAGGGCATAACCTCGATGTCGTGCAATGGCCAAAAGTCCGGGTCACCATTTCACCCTTGGAGCGCCGACGTCGGGGAGTGGGAAGATGGCGTAGGATTATTCCAGAAACAGGATGTCTAGAGAATGCTCTCTGCAGTGTCCAGCAAGTAAGTGAGATTTTAAAAAATATCTGTCAGGGTTCCAAGTAACATCCCCAACGCAAGAAGACTCTGAGGGTAGAAGTTCCTCAAAGTTCCATTTTATTAGAGATGGCACATCTGGGAAAACCCGACTCTGAAAGTTTCCAGGTTTTCCCCACCCAAATGAAAGCCCAAATCTTTTCCTCTGCACCCACATGTCCATCACATGGTCCAATCAATGCACCGTCCCAACTGGAGATGCCTCCCAGTCACACTACTCCCGGTGCAGGCTGAACATCCTTGACTCTCAGAGAAAGGAATGTTATTATGGCTAGATATCCTTGCAACTCCCTGCAATCCTCCCTCCCAGTTTCCCACAGCACTAAGGGTGGTAGTCCTGAAGTTGCAAAGAAAAAGATGGCCTGACAATATCTCTCTTAGCCTGTTTCAAGTTAATTCTAGAGGGATCCCAGTTGGAGAATAAGAACCATGTTCTCCTCCAAGAAAAGTCAGTAGGATTGAAGACAGTTCAACAGTCAGAGCCATTTGGCTTTAGCTGATGTTCCTAGCATGCCACATATGAGGAAAGGAGCCATATTCTATTCTGGAGACATTCTTGAGATCACCCAGATGGCGAAGGCCAGTCCCCCACCTATCCCAAGAGCCAGACTATAAAAAGTGTCGGTTTAAATTACAGGAAGGCAAATCCTTATTGAGTGTTAGAAACAACTTCCCAAACAGTAAGAATACTTTGACAGTGGAACTAATTACAGGTAGTCCTTGACGTACGACTGCAATAGAGTCCAAATTTTCTGTTTTTAAGCAAGACAGTTGTGTGTGTTTGCCCCCTCTTTATGACCTTTCTTGCTACAGTTAGTTTCACTTCAGTTTTATAGGGTTTCCTGCCTAGGCAAGGGGTTGGACTAGAATACCTGCAAGGTCCCTTCCAACTATACCTCTTCTATTCTATTCTGTTCAATTCTAATTCTAATCTATTCTACTTCTATTCTAATTCGAATTCTAATCCATTCTACGGTGTTCTAATTCTATTCTATTCTAATTCTAATTTATTCTACTTCTTTCTATTCTTTTCTAATTCTATTCTATTCTAATTCTAATTTAGTCTGCTATTCTTTCTATTCTATTCTTTTCTAATTCTATTCTATTCTAATTCTAATATAGTCTGCTATTCTTTCTATTCTATTCTTTTCTAATTCTATTCTATTCTAATTCTAATATATTCTACTTCTATTTCTATTCTATTCTTTTCTAATTCTATTCTATTCTAATTCTAATA